AAGTATCCTACCACTTAAATATTGCTGGAATTCCATTAATTTGGATTGTTTCACATTCTAAATTTGCATCTTTAAAAATCAGTAATTTGGGCAGCTTTCTGACAGCTATTAATGCCTAAACCTTTGGAAAATATTTTGTTTGGTTTTGAGAAAGAAGATGAGTTTTATGAAGATGAAGAGGGAAATACTTTGACACATGATATAATTATTAACTGAGACAATTTTCCAGAAGCTTGTTATTATGTGCTTTTGTTTTTGATTTCAACATTTAAATGCAGAAACAGATGGCTTGTACAGTCTTATCAGCGCTTGCATTTTTTTACATTCAAAAACAAAGAAAGATAACCAAACTCACAGATTGAAGATTGTGAAAGGGGAACCAAGAATTTCAGTTTTAAAATAAACCAATAAATGCTTTAGTGTTAAAAAATTATGATAGAGGATTTTAATTACTTTCAAAAGAAAGGAAATAAATTAGTGTAATGCTGAAATTATAGAAAGTATAAGCAGTTTGGAATCCTGATTAGGGTTTTAAACAGATATTTCATGATGTACCACAAACAGGACATTACACAACTTGTTAAAAAGTTGGAGAAACGAAAAAACACACATTGTCATGCTTGCACATGCATAAACATATCCACATGCACACCCACACACAAAATCTCAAAACATCTAATAAGGATCCAACACAGTGACACATGTGATGCATGTTGGGTTTCAATAAATATTTGTTGAGAGGATGAATGAAGAATATAAGTATTCATTGATTAAGACAATTACTTACAATAATAATAACAATTATATTTCAAAGCTAAAGAATTATGGTTTAGTGCCATTGCGTGTACCCAGCCTGAGGATGGATCTTTCCAACTCGCGTAACAATCGGCTACCTAAGATACTTACCTAGGAATCTATAAATCTTCTATAAATTTATTTACAGATTTTATCAAAATGTGTCAAATTGATTTACAGGAAAGAATCATGGGATGTACAGTTCTCAAATAGCAATTAATATTG